GTGGGTGGGTTCGGAGTAGTGCGGAAATATAAAAATTTTAAGCGGGCATTGAGAAGTTCAGGGGCTAAGTGGAAAATGTGCTTTCTGTTGTTTTTTCAGGGGGTGGTGATTTTAGCTGAACTGACCCTTTAATATCTTTTCACCCTCTACTTCTCAATGTAACTACGTCTGATGAGGAGCAGCTCAGAGAGGCCTGCTGTTTTTCATGTTAAGTGGCTTTAGACAGAAGTGCTCTCAGCCAAAGGCCCGGCTCATCAGACCGTGGTCCTGATTTGATTACTGAGAGACATGATTATGACTCCATTTAGGTGAAAAGCTTTACTTATGCCAAACAATAGTCCACGCAGCGGGGGTCAAAGTTAACGACAAGTAATATTAACACTCTGACGCTAAGTTGACTTTAGCTTTCACCAAGGTTACATGGTTATGATGGTTCATAAATGTCTACGATGTCTGACCTCAACCAACATTCGTAATTGAAAACTCAGAACATGACTGCCACTGTGAGAACACAATGGCAATCACATTATTCAAACAAAGCGGGAAATGACTTTCATTTTCTAACTAGCTGACAGTCTCGTATGATCCATTTAGTCACTGTGACTAGTCTGTGTCTCCAGTTCTGGCAGTCCTGCGGAGTTACTGCCTTATCAAGACGGTACCAGTCGCCTTAAGGGCTGACACATCCAGATAAAAACACCTCATGGGGAAGGCAAACAGATCAGGCAGGTCACAAGCTGCACCTTCAATGCCCTATTCAGATATCTTGCAGAATAAGTACCTGGCCATGCAAACACAAAAGGTGCGCAAACACTGCGAGAGGCGAGAGGTGGGTCACGACAGATAAGTGTCAGGGTGTGCCAGAACTTCTTCTCACCAGCGTTTGAAGACAAGGACATTAACACAGCTCAGGTATTAAGGTGGACAACAAAAGGAGAGCTGTGTCACTGTGAAAAATGACTTCTGAAACCACAGACTTGGATCCTAACAGTGGGCGTGAGAGACACGATGCCATGGCCAGATGGGAGTCCGTCACGTAGGACCACGGTGACATGAGAGCCTTTGCCAGACGTCTATCTTTAAGTTAAGCACAAGATAAACAAAAATTCTTACAAAAGTCTTCACCTCTTTTCAGAGGTGCCTGGATGAATAATGCCCACGAAAAGTAAACAGAAAGAAAATAAGAGGGAGAGAAAGACACGGCTTCGCCGGACAACAAAGTCACCTCGAGGTCCAGACCAGATGAAGACGTGCAAATGTAGCTGCAGGCCTGACATGGAATCCATGGTACCTGTTTCTAGGTGTTGTATTGACCTTGTATATAGCATCAACATCAATGGACATCTCTATAATGTAAATGCCCCACATGTCCTTGTCATATTCACCTTCATCGTCCCAGATGATGTGGAATATCCTGCAGGTATTTGTGGATGTGAGTTCTGCTCATTTTATATTACAAAAAATGACAGAAAAGCCAAGAATGTTGAGAACAGGTGAAGATGACAACCATTGATTTTACTGGTTTACGCTCACCGATTGGTTTGTTTAACAAAGAACAGATTCTAAGTCAGCCAACTCGACGCTGTTAGAGTACACAATTCTTTAAACTGAACTTAACTGTATTGTCCATCCTAATGCAGTACCAATGCAGTACTAATGCAGTACTAATGTAGCAGATTGAACAAATACTTTTAGGTGTGTCCATAGTCAGGTGACTGTCCATCGACTGCAATAGTAAAATTATTGTTTTTCTATAGCACTGTGTCCATAATTAATTCTGATGTTATAAACGCTAATATTCAGCCTTTTTTTTAAGTAAACAATCCAACCTTTAAAGTTTTCTCACCAAAACTCCATCACTCAACCTGAAGATGTTCAAATTCCAGAGAAATGCACTTCAGTTCTTGATTTCTAACTTTTCTTCTTTTTCACATTTCCTCAAACACAGCTCTTTGTCAAACCCTTGTATTCCGTTGCCCTATTTTTCTGCCGTCTGACTATCAAGAGTACTCAGATCAGTAAATCCAAGGAATGGCAGTCATGGTGGAACACAGTACCTCCAGCCATTGTATGGTGACATGTCTCCATCAATAGGCTGGTTAGGCCAATCTACGGAGCAGATAATAGCAGCAGTCACTGTGACAGCGGATCCCCACACTGGACTCTCTGAGGGCCTCTCCTCACCCCTGCTCACTCAGACCTTCCTGTCCTGAGGGATTGGCAGCTAGAAACACAACCAGAGCAAGAGACACACACATTCAGGACCCCGAGCCCTGGCGTTCTATCATGTTGTGCTAAGGGGGGAGCGTAATGGTTTTTAAATGGATGACTCAGTGCTGGCCCAGAGAGAGAGTCTGAGACAGAAGAGAATGGCCATGGCCTGCAGCGCAGCAGCTCTTATATTAAGCTGTCCGTCTCGCTGAAATGAGTATGAGTTAACACCTCTTCCAGTTCCTGACGCCCCAGGACAGACAATAGTTGGCTTCCTTTTCTGCCCGCTCCTCCTCCTCCTCTCGCTTCTTTTCCTTTCTTCTGCTCACCAGCTCTTTCTTTAATTTATTTGTTTTTTAAAAAATGTCTTCACTAATCCACACCTCCACAAAGCAACACGGCATTCACAGTAAGGTTGTTAAAGTTGTTTGACTTCATGGGGAGACCGCAGCACTCGCAAAGTTGATATAATGAGTTATTGCCAGCCTTAGTATGAAAAAAACAAATCCACAAAAATGCAGGCGATGTAGTAAAAAACGGTTTTGAATTCAAGAGTAAAAGTGAAGGCATTTTCTGTTTCTTGGACGTTTCAATCAGTTTAGAATAAGAAGCTCATTAAGAAGAAAACAAGACTGTTGAACTCTTAGACACACTCCCTCTACATGAATCCTCGATGGACTGCTGATTTTCTATGTATTCTACAAGCCCTGTGTAGATAGGATCATATTTACACCTCAGGTGACATCATCTCTCAGAACACCTCCCTCTGTTTTGGCAAGAAACGCAGAATGACATGGAATTTTTAGAATAAAAGTGTTAATCTTCTGTATTTTTAATATGAGGTTTCACACGACGTTGTTCCACTTTATAAATCTTTTTTTTTTTTTTAAATATATATTTTTCAAAATTTCGGCTCAGTTTCTTCTGTTTCCTGGATGATTGGGCTAAGACCAGAGGCAGTAGATAAATGACTGAAGATAGTGAGACAAGGGAGAAAAGGGGGGAGTACATGGGAGTCCTGGGGGAGTCTGTTGATTGCTATTGTTTTTAATATGGGGGTTCACACGACGTTTTTCCACTTTATAAATCTTTTTTTTTTTTTTTTAAATATATATTTTTCAAAATTTCGGCTCAGTTTCTTCTGTTTCCTGGATGATTGGGCTAAGACCAGAGGCAGTAGATAAATGACTGAAGATAGTGAGACAAGGGAGAAAAGGGGGGAGTACATGGGAGTCCTGGGGGAGTCTGTTGATTGCTATCAACAGACTAACTGTTATGACTATCTATGAAGTCTGGGAGTGAAGAGCCCCTGAAGGCCCCAGACCCAGACCAGATCTGGGCCTATCAGGGATATACATATACATATATATATATATATATAAATATATATATATACATATACATATACATATATATATATATATATATATATATGGTCAAAAAAGAAATGAAAAACAGCAGGTTTCTGTGCGTGTGTGCTAACATGTGTGTGTCTCTCCACAGTTGAAGGTGGCCCTTATTTCCTCCAGGGCAATGAGCTGAAGTTGAGCTGCTGAATATGCATCAGTCCAGTGTCAGGGGAGCAGAGAGGAAGGAGGAGGAAAACTGAGGGGAAACACCAGAGCTACATGGAGAGTGTCGGTTTTGGAGAGGTGCCCTTAGCATCCCGTACGGCTAGCCATAATATGAAGTCAGAAAAAGGAAGAAATGTACAAACCTGGCGCTCTGCCACACAGCGTGTGTCTGACTGTGCTTTAATCGCCTGCATGCTTCTACAACTATTAAGACGGAAACGGAGTGAGAGAAAAATAAGTGCTTTGGTAAGAAAAACAGCAGAGGTTCCTAGGGCTCAACCTTCTGAGTGAACCATTCCTTTAGAGTTCTGTCAATGGTGGGATTCATGAACATTATTCACTATGAAAGATAAATGAACAATAACTGGAGTCTGAATGTGGTTTTCACATTAAAGCAACTCATACCTGCTTCAAGATTTTTTTTAAATCTATTTTACCATTTTTATAAGTTGTTAACAATGGTTAAGTGCATTACATTTCATGATTTAATTTCATTTAAGGCCAAATATCACTAGGATTCTCACCGGCCATGCAGAAGGCTGCAGGTTAGATTTCACTGATCCCCTAATGCAGATAAAAATGCAGAAAGTGATCTTTAGATTTTAAACTAGCCTGTTCTTCTGGTCTACAATTAGAGAGACAAAAGTTCCTTGCCGAAAGAAAAATAAAAAATCATATCAGTGAAACTATTTCTCCTCTGATTTGGTATATGAGCAAAAGAGGGCAGAAGATATGGAGGGAAGGGAGAAAGGAAAGAGAGAGGGAGACGAGGAGTTCCCTTTTTCCCTAATGAGCTTACTGAAGCAACTTCAATATCCTCCAACGTCATGTTGAAATGAAAATGAATAGTTCAATATGCAGCCACTGCACCGGGCTTTTTCATTTCCATATCGGGTGGCGTGACCAAATGAGTTAGCTCGCTTGGACCTGTAGCCAGAAAAGCTGATACCTCTACTAATCAGGAGATTTTTCCATGTGACATTACAGCCACGATGGAATTCTTCATGTCGTTATGAAGAGACGGATGTCCATAAATAAAGACTGATGGCTCGGAGGAGGACAGCATGAAGAGACTCACTTACCATCAGTGCTGTTTCATGGTAACGCTTTAAATCTGTGATTGTAACACTGACACTGACACTGACACTGACACTGACACTGACACTGACACTGACACAGAAAACATGAAAACAAAGACATTTTGTTGATTCCTACCTCCCATCCGAAGGAGCCGTCTTTGCCCGTGGCGTCGTGGTGCAGCGTGTTGTGTAGCCCAAACCTTTCGCCGGCACAAATTCGGGACTTGGCCCACACGCCGAGGCCCGCGCCTGGCACTGAGGACTCCCGCAGCTCCAGTTCACTGGGAATGGGAATGTCATCAGGAATGTAGACGGGAGCCTCGTAGGGCGAGCCTTCCTTAGGTGTGGTGAAGTCCTGGTCGTTGCTGCTGCTGTTGCTGTTGTTGTGGAGGTGATGGTGGTGGCTGGCGTAGATGTGCGGGTGCAGCAGGTGGTGGTGGTGGTTGTTGTTCGGGTGGGAAGGGGTCGGTGAGGGCAGGGGGGACATGTTGATGAGGCCGTCCTCGGCATCGTCTTCTGGGCTGTCGGCGCCACCACCGCTGCTGGCTGCTAAACCTGCGAGGTCAGTCTCTGTGTCGTACATGCTGTCCACCGGTTCACTGTCATCTAGAACAGTAGAAAGGGGAGACTGGCGTTGAAACAACAGCTTGTATTTGTTTGTTTTTTACTAATTCTTTTTATTTATTTTTTTAAATGTGTTGTAGTTGTACATGACATCATTCAGCAGAAGGTTCAACAGTTTGTTTCACTTCAACTTAGATCCCAGAAAATCCCAGTGTGACCTCATTTTTGTTGAATAACTCCCCAAGGGAGTCTGCCCCCCACCTTGGGAACCACTGAGCTAACATTACAAATATGTCAAATCCCTTGTAGGTGTAAATATAAACTGATTCTTATTTGATCAGTATCAGATACAGGTGATTTTTTTTCTGATGTTGTTTGTTGAATCATTATAAGGGAGTTCACAGGTTCAAGACCCAGCACTTGTTTATTGTTGTTTTTCCTTCTGATGAACCTGGACAGGTCTTGGAAAGGGGCTGGCAATCAGAGGGCCAACCAGGCCGAAAACTACTACAGGAGTGGTTTCAATCAGGTTTTCTCCCTCTGCTGCCAAACTCTACACAGAGCTACAACATGACATTTTTAAAAAATCTGCTTGTTAGTACACAGCACTTTATTGGACAGGAGTGAAGGTTTGCTGGTTGAATTTCAGCAGAAAAAAATTTATTGAATTAATCTCCAAGAAAATCTACCTCCACGCACTTATTGAGCGCAGTGGCGGACTGTAAATCAGGAGAAAGTCTAAAAATGGTCATCACTGAACAAGAGCACATTCATCCTAGTATTTTAGTTCTTTGATAAATATTTGGGTTCCTGCCCAGTGACAGATGTGAACTGCGAAAGCTGTTAAATTAACTGACATGTAAGTTTTAAATGTGAAACGTGAGACTATGAAAGCACCGGCGAGGGCATTTTCACAGCCTGGCAAAACCTGCAGCCTGTCCACGCGGATCCGGGAAAAACTTATCACATAAAGCGGCAGCAGTAAAAAGTCCAGCTCTTTATGACTGATTTTGCGTCATCCAGTGATTTTGACTGGAAAAGAACCCATTTTTTAATGATGGCTGTTTCATAGAGGCTCAGACCAGGCATACAATTAAAGAAGGGAATAAGTGAGGCAGCAGTAGCTTCCACTATTCTCACATCAATTACTGTTTATAACGCAGCTCTATCTCCAGCTCCCTCTGCGCAATCAAGCGTTTTCAGGCTGTTAAACACTTTCTTTTATTTTCATTTACTTTCCTTCTCCTCACTCCCCCTGAATCTCACTGGCACTTGACCCAGTGAGAGCAATTATGAAGAGCAGAATGACAGCCTCGGAAAATCTATTAAATCCCGTTTGGCTTTAGGAGCCTTTCTGCGTGAAAATGCACAGATAACTATCTCAGTTAATTAAGTTATGTGGAAAATTCTTCTGGATTTCAATGAACAAAACATCTTCTATGAAACACGCTGAAGCGGTAAAGTGAGGCTGGAATCGTTAGGCGGTGTGATGTGATATTAAACAAAGTGTGTAATAACGTTGTCATTTGTTAAAAAAGCAGGTCCCCCGGAGCAACGTTGGTAATTTCTATATGACTTGCCTTCAGAGACAAGCTCAGCCGCCCCCTCCCCTCTCCTGCCATACAAGCTGTTTTTAGAGTGGGGCTGAAAAAAAGTTGCAGATGAGAAAAGAAAGCAGGAAAATAATGAGAGGCCGGGAAGAAGAAGAGTAGGAGGAGAAGGAGGAGGCAAGAAGTTTAAAAACGGACGACAGAGCTGCTTTTAAACAGCTGTATGTTAGCTCAGCGTCTCAAAAGACCCCGAAAGAGATGTTCGAGTCAGGTCCCCGAAGGATTCTGAAAAAACCAGCAGGTCCAGATAGTGTCTTCCTCTCCCTGGCTCCTCGTGTTGTTCTTTCTCCTTTTCTATTCCTCTCACCGACTCTTTCACAGGCAGCTATTTATCCTGATTACATCAGGGGTCAATCATTAATTTGCACCTTGGGGGTCCCGGTGCTCACCGCGGCTACAATGGGCTGCTTGTTCGGCGGCTGTTATTCCAGTGGAAAACTACACTGCTCGGCCCGAGAGCCCGGCCCTGGCCACATGAAGGCATCCCATTTATTTGATAAATTGTAAATGCGTGCCATAAACGGAGCTCTTTGCTTTGTGGCATGGCTTGAAATAACAAAGATTTTAGGGCACGTACGAGCAGATGCGAGCCGTCGCACAATCACACATCTGTTTGCCACTGCAGGAGCTGTTACTGTAGCTCTGAACACATGTGCAGGAGATCAGACGGTGCTGTAGGTGGAGATGATATCTCCTCATTACTGCACGTCACAGGGAAGTGACCAGATACGACACAGATACCGCTCTTAGGTTTAATCCACCAAATTATAATTTGTCAACGTGGGAATTTTTTTTTTTTTTAAACAGCAGCTGAATAATAAATGTCAAACTTTAAAATCCAACTGTGCTTTTGGTATTTGATTAAAACAAAGAAAAAGAAAATTATGATCTGCTGACGACTGTGTAATCAGCGTTGCTATGGCAAAATAACTTGACACTGTGATGAAAATCAGCGGCTGGTTGGAAGGGTCTTTACAACAGGCAAATTGTTCTGTGGTTGTGTTTAATCAGAGCACTCACGACTTAAATGCAGAAAGATAGAGATCTGCAGTCATTTTCTGCCGTCTGCCTGGGCACACTCAAACACATGTGCCTTGTGGCATATAGAGCCGTGTAAGTCCTCGTTGTCTCGGCAAACAACGCTGACTTCTAAGCAGGGAACTATAAATAAGACATTAAGCAGGAACCAAGTCGTTTCTTGCTGAATAAGCAGCCATGCTTCATTGGGGAAAGTAATAATGAAAGGAGGAAGGTTTTTTTTTTTTTTGGGGGGGGGGGGTTAAAAGATATCAAGATAGTATTTGCAGAAAACTTCAAAATCTGACATTTGGTGCATTCAAATTGACATCAGTTAACACAACGTGTGACGTCACGTCTTCTCCTGCACATGGAGTCTGATGGGAGTCCAGGTAACGTGAACAACCAATGCACAGAAATGGGATCCCCAAAAATCGGAATTGAGCCACAATCGACCTGCAGTGTGAAGACGCTACCTTCAGCTAAACCGAGTCTGATGATGTGCTAATAAAAGAACCTTCTAGAACATTGCTTGCAGGAACTTTTATGTTACATTTCCCTATGATATGGATTGACTTTATACTAAATATGAGTCAGATCTTTTTATTGCATTTTGACAAAGTGCACCAGCTTCTATGGAAATGACATTTGTACAGTTTGTAAATGACTTCAAATTACAGGTGAGTGTGTGTGCCAACACAAGCTTGTGTGTTCAGCACCAGGTGCTTGTTAGAAAGAAGGCAGCACAGTGGAGTCCTGGCTTTTACTATGATAACAACAAGAAGGAGCGAGCTAGAAATAGGACGGCTGCACCAGTGATGGTCATCATAAAACACACAAGTCTCCCTGCCTCCCCCGTCCAACATACACACAGACTCTATCTCTGTCTGGCCGAAAATTGATCTGGTTCAATTCAAAAGCAAAGTCAGCCGCTGCTGAAAGGAGAGTGTCCAGGGAAAAGACAAAAATATGCAAAATTCTGCGCTGGCTCCAAATATGGGGAGAAAAGATTGTCCAGTGAAAGGAAGAGAAAAAAAAAACCTCACAGGCAGAAGGAGAATGTGTGCAGCATGACAGCGATGAAAAATGGGTAGCTGCTTGAGCAATAAATGACCAAACATTTTTGATGTGGGGAACTGTGTGTGTGTGTGTGTATGTGTGTGTGTGAGTGTGTGTCTACGCCTGAAAGGGCGGGTGTGAAAACTCCAGCCTAATCTGCTGTTATATTGTGTCAATATGGTCCCACTTAGCTGCATTATTGAACCACAAAGTGATATTGTACCTGTTTTTCTGAGGTCTTTGATGATTCTGTCTGCACAAGAAAAACAGCTTCGCTTTGAAACAAGGGGAGTGGAGTCAAGAGGCCGCTGTAAAAGTCTAACAAGTCCAAATTTAAAGGCACAGTGGCAAAAGGGTGAAAAAAAACCCCTGAACAATGGTGTATTTTTCCACTGTACCGTATATTGAAAATGACGTACAGATGGAGGCATGTGAAGAGGAAGGAGGGGAGCAGAGAAGGTGTGTGTGTGTTTGAGTGTGTGTGTGCGTTAGTTGTGAGGAAGTAATGAGCGAGCAACGGGGCACAGTCAGCTACAATAGCAGCAATCCTCTCCAAGCCTGTATGCCACACTGTTTCCCCTTGTAAAAGCACCAGGGAACATTTCCAAGCCAGACTTTAAATTCCAGCATGGATTCAGGAAAAAGGAGCGAAAGAGAGATGAAAAACTAAAGGAGAAAAGACTGAATATTAGATAGTTTTGCTGAAATAGGAAATGCTTCGTTGCTATTTCTTTCCCAGGGAGTGTTTGTCATGTTTTTTTTTTCATATAAAAGTCAGTGAAATCATTTAATATAGGGTGTTTAATTGGGTGTCACATTTTGTTTGTCCTGATCATTGCTATAACTCAGGGTTAAACTTCAGGGTTAAAGCTAGTGGCGCTCATTAGAGGGATTTTGAAATACTGGCTTTTATTTATAGATTTTTTTAAGCCAACAGAATATTGGAAATTTAAATAGAATTCCACAGACCTACTGCAGGGGCTTCCTATTAGTAAAAACCTGCATGTTAAATAAAAGACTTGATCATTTGGACTGAGGTCCAGAATGTTCCTGTGTGTTTGACTACAGCGCAGCTTTAACATGGAGACAAAAGAAAAACAACAAACCATGGAGTTTGGTCACAGCAGCTCAATAAAGGAGCGAGCACATTTGTGAATTTATATAAACAAGCGAGCACTTTTGTGTTTGTGTGTAGCGTCAATAGAACACAGCTCATGTATCGATGTGTTATTTGTGCTGAGCAGCTTTGATGCACCCTGTCCTCCAGTCTCTGTGTGTGTGGGTGTGTGTGTGTGTGTGTGTGTGTGTGTGTGTGTGTCAAGCCTTGAGGCAAATACTAGACAGCAGGCAACCTCC